AAGGTTCTTTGTTTACATAAAGGTAATCTAGTCAGACCCCGTTAGGTGATGCCAATGGCTTCAGAAGGAGAGTGCCCCATTCTGGTTTGCCAGTGGAGTCCTGAGGAGGAATTCCAAGAGGGAGGAACCAGACACAGACCACCATCTTCAAAAACTAAAGGAAAGAAAGAAGTCTTTGCTTGCTTGCCTGAAATGGCTGCTGTCATGGCGGTTGCTGCCACTGTTGGCTGCTGGCCATGCAATACCAGCAGGTCTGATCAAGAGGCTTGTGCTTCCTCCTCCCTCCTGGAGGGCCACTGAGCAGTAGGAGCCATCTCAGATTTGACATCTACAAGCAAATAACTTCTAGTCAGCCAGCAAGTCTATTGACATTAAAACATGTGAGTCAGGGAGACCACTGGCTAATGTTTTCAACTGTATACCTGGTTCCTGAAGCTGAATGAAACCACCAGTCACCACAATCAATCATTTTGGTTTTCTTTTATTTTCTATTAGTAGAGGGCTGCCTCTATATCAGCATCTTGAACTTGGTTTGTTTGGTTTTTTTGTTTTGTTTTTCTGTTTTGTTTTTTTTAATTCCAGCAGATGGCTGGTGAGTATGTGTGGGGTGTGAGCATATATAGAGTATAGCACCTATAGAGTAGTTCCTAGGTTAAACAACCTGCTGTCTAAAAGATCACATGAATATATTCTATGGATTAGGAGATGTACGTTTAATCCTGAGAAATCATGTTGTTTTCACCTACATTTGAATATTAAAGGTAACAAGCTGGGTCATCTTGAATTGTGTTGGAATGTTTCACTTTAACCCCACTCCCACAGCCTATACTCTTCAAACAAAATTGGCTATGTTCACAGCCCTCACCTGCCTCCCTGGTAGTGCAGCATTTATTTGGAATGTCTAATGTTTATTTTCTCCTACAAGCATTTAGAGCAGGCTCATGGGATAAATGAAAGAGATGTTAAAAACCCAACTGCTTAGGATTTTTTATCTTTTAGTGAACTGTAGACAGCTTTCCCTACTGAAGTGAACATGGCTGCTCAGGGTAAGAAAATAAGATGGGGCACAGGCCAGAAAAAAAAGAATCCACGTTTTTGGGGCAACTTGATAAGGAAATAGCAGGACACCTTCTAACTACCTACTGAGGCTAAAGTGTCTTAACTATTCAGCTGTCACTAAAATACCTTAGAGAGGGGAGCCTCACTAACGCTGGACCTTTATGACCCTGTTGTGCTGATTGACAGTATTTGGCTGCCAGTGTGCATTCATGTTGTCTGAACACAGCATTTGTAGTAAAGTCTCAGTTCTTTTACATGGTGAGGGAGGTTGAAAGTGCAAGCACATTCCTTTTCTCAATTTAGTTGGAGCAAAAACTCCTTCTGCCAGACCATTTATCCCACTCACAACAATTATTTCTGGGACAGATGCTGGCAAACACCATCAAAAAGGAAAGTGAGAAAGGAAACAAAAGATAAAAACAAGAAAGCAAGAAAATGAGGTGAGCTCCAGCTGCCAGTCATTCTCCAGGTATCTATCTAGAGGCTGGGGGACAGACTAGCAAGTCTAGTTAACTCCTCGGGTCTGCAACATCCATTCTTTCTCCAGAAACAACGGCAGGCAGTTAGAAAGTATTCATTTATATAGAATGCTTTAAACAAATCTCTTGGAAAAATCAATTTAACATGTTGAATAGATTTCCAATGACTTCATCAGCTTTGAATAATGCTAGTACTTACTTTATTGCAGTCTACACAGAATTCTACCAAACAACACATTGCAGCTAAAATGAGTTTAAAAAGCAGGGACAGACCCTACAATCCTTACTCATCCAAGTACTCCCATTGAACTCAATGGCACTAATCACATGGAATTGATAGTTCACAAACCAACTGTGCATATATTACCTTTAATATACATTGAAGTTTATAGGCCTGTAGTGTACAATGGAATTACTCAACATTAATGCATATACAAAGGGTTAGATTGTGCCCTTGTCTTACGCACTTGAGCAAGTAAGACCCCCAGCCTAGCTAGATCTTGGGTCTGGGTTTGTTGTGAAGCTCAGCCCCTGCTCTCAGATACTTAGAATCATAGAATATCAGGGTTGGAAGGGACCTCAGGAGGTCATCTAGTCCAACCCCCTGCTTAAAGCAGGACCAATTCCCAACTAAATCATCCCAGCCAGGGCTTTGTCAAGTTGGGCCTTAAAAACCTCCAAGGAAGGAGATTCCACCACCTCCCTAGGTAATGCATTCCAGTGCTTCACCACCCTCCTAGTGAACTAGTGTTTCCTAATATCCAACCTAGACTTCCCCCACTGCAACTTGAGACCATTGCTCCTTGGGGGGAGGGATAGCTCAGTGGTTTGAGCATTGGCCTGCTAAACCCAGGGTTGTGAGTTCAATCCTTGAGGGGGCCACTTAGGGATCTGGGGCAAAATCAGTACTTGGTCCTGCTAGTGAAGGCAGGGGGCTGGACTCGATGACCTTTCAAGGTCCCTTCCAGTTCTAGGAGATGGGATATCTCCATTAATTTTTTTTTATTTTATTTTATTTTGTTCTGTCATCTGCCACCACTGAGAACAGCCGAGCTCCATCCTCTTTGGAACCCCCCTTCAGGTAGTTGAAAGCAGCTATCAAATCCCCCCTCATTCTTCTCTTCTGGAGACTAAACAATCCCAGTTCCCTCAGCCTCTCCTCATAAGTCATGTGCTCCAGACTCCTAATCATTTTTGTTGCCCTCCGCTGGACTCTTTCCAATTTTTCCACATCCTTCTTGTAGTGTGGGGCCCAAAACTAGACACAGTACTCCAGATGAGGCCTCACCAATGTTGAATAAAGGGGAACAATCACGTTCCCCGATCTGCTGGCAATGCCCCTACTTATACATCCCAAAATGCCATTAGCCTTCTTGGCAACAAGAGCACACTGTTGACTTATATCCAGCTTCTCGTCCACTGTGACCCCTAGGTCCTTTTCTGCAGAATTGCTACCTAGCCATTCGGTCCCTAGTCTGTAGCAGTGCATAGGATTATTCAGTCCTAAATGCAGGACTCTGCACTTGTCCTTGTTGAACCTCATTAGGTTTTTTTTGGGCCAATCCTCTAATTTGTCTAGGTCCCTCTGTATCCGATCCCTACCCTCTAGTGTATCTACCACGCCTCCCAGTTTAGTGTCATCTGCAAACTTGCTGAGAGTGCAGTCCGCACCATCCTCCAGATCATTAATAAAGATATTAAACAAAACCGGCCCCAGGACCGACGCTTGGGGCACTCCGCTTGAAACCGGCTGCCAACTAGACATGGAGCCATTGATCACTACCCGTTGAGCCCGACGATCTAGCCAGCTTTCTATCCACCTTACAGTCCATTCATCCAGCCCGTACTTCTTTAACTTGGCGGCAAGAATACTGTGGGAGACCGTATCAAAAGCTTTGCTAAAGTCAAGGATATCCACTGCTTTCCCCACATCCACAGAGCCAGTTATCTCATCATAGAAGGCAATTAGGTTAGTCAGGCACGACTTCCCCTTGGTGAATCCATGCTGACTGTTCCTGATCACTTTCCTCTCCTCTAAGTGTTTCATAATTGATTCCTTGAGGAACTGCTCCATGATTTTTCCAGGGACTGAGGTGAGGCTGACTGGCCTGTAGTTCCCCGGATCCTCCTTCTTCCCTTTTTCAAAGATGGGCAATACATTAGCCTTTTTCCAGTCATCCGGGACCTCCCCCGATCGCCATGAGTTTTCAAAGATGATGGCCAATGGCTCCGCAATCACATCCGCCAACTCCTTTAGCACCCTCGGATGCAGCGTATCCGGCCCCATGGATTTGTGCTCATCCAGTTTTTCTAAATAGTCCTGAACCACTTCTTTCTCCACGGAGGGCTGGTCACCTCCTCCCCATACTGTGCTGCCCAGTCCAGCAGTCTGGGAGCTGACCTTGTTTTTGTGAAGACAGAGGCAAAAAAAGCATTGAGTACATTAGCTTTTTCCACATCCTCCGTCACTAGGTTGCCTCCCTCATTCAGTAAGGGGCCCACACTTTCCTTGACTTTCTTCTTGTTGCTAACATACCTGAAGAAACCCTTTTTGTTACTCTTAACATCTCTTGCTAGCTGCAACTCCAAGTGCGATTTGGCCTTCCTGATTTCACTCTTGCATGCCTGAGCAATATTTTTATACTCCTCCCTGGTCATTTGTCCAATCTTCCACTTCTTGTAAGCTTCTTTTTTGTGTTTAAGGTCAGCAAGGATTTCACTGTTAAGCCAAGCTGGTCGCCTGCCATATTTACTATTCTTTCTACACATCGGGATGGTTTGTTCCTGCAACCGCAATAAGGATTCTTTAAAATACAGCCAGCTCTCCTGGACCCCTTTGCCCTTCATGTTATTCTCCCAGGGGATCCTGCCCATCTGTTCCCTGAGAGAGTCAAAGTCTGCTTTTCTGAAGTCCAGGGTCCGTATTCTGCTGCTCTCCTTTCTTCCTTGTGTCAGGATCCTGAATTCGACCATCTCATGGTCACTGCCTCCCAGGTTCCCATCCAGTTTTGCTTCCCCTACTAATTCTTCCCTGTTTGTGAGCTTCCTGCTTCAAGAAAGTGGACAGCAAGGGGATGGAGTCTTAGCTCTACCCCTTACCATCCCTCACAGGCTGGAATAGCTGGCTTGGTGCAAGAGGGAGAAGTAAACTACACCCTTTCAAGGGCTGATGTAACTTATTCCTTACCTGGAGCAAAAGCAGAGCAGGGAGGAATTGTGCTTTGGCGGGATGACTCTTGAGCAGGGCCGGCTTTAGCAGGTGCGGGGCCCCACAACTCCGCCCCCAGCCCCACCCCCTCACTGCCCCATTGGATCCCTCCCCGAATCCCCGCCCTGGCCCCGCGTCTTCCCCAAGCACGCTGCCTTCCTCCTCCTAACCCCTCCCTCCCAGGCTTGCGCTGATCAGCTGTATGGCGGCACAAGCACTGGAGGGAGGGGGGAGAAGCAGGACACAGCTTTTTTTTTTTTTCCTTTCCTCCTGCTCTGCCGGCAGCCCCGGACGTTGTGGCGCCCTCTTAGGCACGGGGGCCCATTCTGGGGAATCGGCCGAATCGGCTTAAAGCCGGCCCTGCTCTTGAGGGGAATGTGTCTAAATGCACAATCTAGCCCAAAGTACATTTTAATAATATTAGAAACATAGCTCATTTTCATCAGTGAGCATAGACTGATAACTCCTTGAGCTATAGAAATCAGAGATGGAAAAAGCTTAGCAGGTCTAGTCCATCCCATTGCCTCTGTAGAATTGTTCTTTATAGTACATGCTCAAGTGCTTTCTCCAATCTAGTTTTAAAATCATGCACGCGATGAGAAGCTGTAGAAACCTGTTGGGACACTTCCACAGTTAGGGTTCTGGAAATGTTTTCTGATATGCACTCTAAACATTTCTTTCCTCACTTTCATCCCATTATTCCTAACTATTTCAGCACTCTAATCAATTCCACTCTTTCTGTTCTAGTATAATAATGGAGATACAACGATCCATAGTGCATAGTTACACTATTTTATTCCTTATAAATCCCTGATCACTTATGTTGCTTTTCCATGAATTTTCCCCACTTTGGCTAAGTTTTTCTGGTATCTAGGTGTCCTAAATTACAGGAGTAATCCTGGTGCAATCTCCCCACGGTCACACACCGAAGGCATGTCACGTCCCTGGTCCATGATACAAAACCTTTGGATTTGCAGCCCCAAACTGAATTGGCTTTTTTGTTGCCGATGTCATATTACAAACTCATGTCTCACTAGCAGCCCACAATCACCCTTTGGTCTCTTTTCCATCACTGCTTTCCAAGTACCTTGCTCCCACTAAATGACTTTGTTAGAATTTACACCTATTATATTAATTTGCGCTCACCACTCTAGTTCCCTTTTCATTATTTCTCGGCCTTCAATAGTCTTTGCATAACACTTCCCAATTTAGGAGGAACAGTGAACTGAATTTTGGGGCAGCACCACTTATGTCTCTCTTAACTTGCTTACATCAAAATTTCAACCTACACATGGATAGATAACACTTCTTCATTCAAGCTTCAATTCTGCAAACCATGTAAGCATAATTTAATTTAAAGCAAGTAATCTTATCTCTGGTCCACAAAACACTTAAACTCTTGCTTAATTTATGAGTAATCCCACTGGCTACACTAGGATTTAAGCAGGTGCTTAAAATTAAGCATGTGCTTAAGTGTTTTACCTAACTGAAGCCTGCATGCTGATATGACAGAACCAAACTTAGCAGAAATGTAATCTTACACTAACAAGCTACAAATTACAACTGAGATATTCATCCTGATTTAAAGTATTCCTTTTAGAGTATATAAAAAAAATTTAAAAGCACATATCAAAGTGAGACTTTTCTGTAACCATTCTCAGGCCTTGCAGTGCACATCATACTTCAGATATGCTTCCAGCTTGGTTCCCCCTAAACTCTCTTTAAATTTAGCATCCATTTCCTGGCTTTGAGCTTCAGTAAAAAGGTTCTTCCAATCTCCAACAGCACCTGGAATAAACAAAAGTAAGAAAAGGATACTCTTGACTACGATGAATGTAGGGACTGCTTTAAAAGAAGAATCAAGATTCCTTTATTATGATATTTGGGAACAATGCATGTTTATGTGCCAGAAATAAACATCTGTTCAGAAGAGGAAAAGTGCATACAGGGCCTGAACCACCATTGCCTGCACCTTGTATAGTCATTTACACCACTACAAGATGAGTATAAAGAGTGGATATAATGCTTTTGTTCCGTTTTGGTTGGTTTTGCACAGGTGTAAAACACTATACAAGGTGCAGTGCAAAGGCCCAAAGAGTTCATAAGTATGACTCGCAACTGCAAGAACAGATTGTCCGCACCTGCAAAATTTGGATCCAGATTTTGAATACCCCTAAATCTGAGGATGTATGGATCTGGGACTTTAGTCTGGCCCATTCCAAAGATAGTTGTCAACCTATAGATTGCTTAGATCCAAGATTTTGATTCAGGACCATAATTAATCCCAGCAGTTGCCTAAGAAACTCAAGAAGAAAATTCTATAGAGATTTAATGGCCTAAATAAAATTTTAGAACCCGTTCCATCTCCCACAGAAGTCAGTGGGAATCTTCCCATTATTTTAATGGGAGCTGGGGAAGGCTGAACAGAGTACCAGCTGTGCTATGCTTTAAGGAAACAGGGTAATCCAAGTGGTCTATTTATTGATTTTGACCCATGTGGAAAAATCAAGTGACTCTCTAAAAGTACCATCTGTGTTTCTCAAACCATTTCTAACCTAGATAACTAGAAAGGAAGAAAGGTTGATTGCCTCCTGTTCCAGATTCCTGTCAAAATTAAATGAAATGTAACCACTGACAATCCTTGGATTTTTTTTTAAAAGACAAATTTACCTTTACGGAAGAGAATCGGACCAACTGAGCCATAGATCTCCTGGGATTTTTCTCTCATTGCTTCGAAGCTTCCCCTGTCTGCAATAAACTGAATCTGCTCTGCCGTTGGAGAGAATCCAAAGAATTCAGCTATTTGCTTCACTCCAGAAGCCAGATTCTGAAAGCAAAGTAGTGAAAGTGGTAACATAATATGCTTGCTCTGAAAAATGGTGTTCCCTGTTTGACAGGTGTGTGATCTTGATGCATTGATAGTACTTTCACACACAGTGCATTTTACATCACCTTGATGCAAAGTGCTACAGATTTGTATCCATGCTCAACTTATTGCTATAAGATGTTTTGGGCTCCATTATCTCTCATTGAAGTCACTAGGAGCTTTGCCATTGACTTGAATAGGAGCAGGCTCAGATAAGCCTTGCCTGCAAGTAGCTACAGCTTTACCTCTTTCAGGTCTTCATATGTTATAATCATAATATTTTCATCCTCAATGTGTTTGTTCCAGGCAACCGCGTGGTCAAAATAGGAACCCCAGCTGACTGAAAAGGAGATAGAAAACAAGCTTCAGCCTGTATGTTCAATAATTATGCTTTTATTTCTCTCTAACTAAGAATCACTTTCTGCTGCCTTCAGGTTATACCAATGCAGAAAACCATAACAGAACATCTGTTCAGTTGTGCAGTGTTGTACAATGGAGAAGGCGAGATTTCTCTCTGACTCCTGTAGGCAAGAGGTTTATGTCCTGAAGCATAAACTCCTCTATCTATACTATTGTTTTAGCTTCCATAAGTACATATGCTGTTATTAGGGATTATTCTGAGCAGCCAAGTCCAGATCTCTATATAGATCTAGGAAATGCTTAGAACTGGGATTTTGGTTTGGTCCCAGATGCAGAAACTGAACTGTCTTCACTAGCACTTTTGATTCTGATCACATCTTGCTTGAAGCTGGCCCTAGTTGGCAGAGATTTTGCCCAACACATTAAACTACTACGCAAATTCATGATTCAAGGGACAACATAATGCCCAGAAGCAGCACTATCTTAGAACTTTCCTCACATTCTGGAGTTCAATTGCATCTTATCATGAACAATAACTACCAATTAATTTTAGCATTACACAGCTGTTTTCATATTGGCCCCATTTAATTTATTTAAAAAAAATTTTCTGCTGCTTAATCTTTCAGATACATTCAAAAATAGTAATTGTACCTTTTCCACTCATGAACTCTGAGAAGAACTCATCCCAGGAGTTATAACTGGGGACGTCTAAGGCCTTGTTATAGAAATGAAAAAACGATGCAGCTGTATCTTTAGGATTTCGAAACAACACTAGTATCTGGAGTGGGAGGAAGAGGTTAGCAATTTTTAGATCTTTTATTTCCCGGGATAACTACAGTGATAGTACAACCAAACATTCTGTAACCAGTAATGTACTGTAGCTATTAAATATTTTCATTTATATGTAAGACATGAAAAGCAAGCTCAAAATGATGGCCATAATAAAGTCTCTGGCCACTTTTAAAGCTTGATCTTGTGATCAAAGAATCATAAAAATGAAAGACTGAAAAAGCCTATATTACTATCATTAATATCCCTTAATGGACTTAACCACCATGAATTTATCCAGTTCTCTTTTAAATGCTGTTATAGTCCTAGCCTTCACAACCTCCTCAGGTAAGGAGTTCCACAAGTTGACTGTGCGCTGCGTGAAGAAGAACTTCCTTGTATTTGTTTTAAACCTGCTGCCTATCAATTTCATTTGGTGACCCCTAGTTCTTGTATTATGGGAATAAATAAATAACTTTTCCTTATTCACTTTCTCCACATCACTCATGATTTTATATACCGTATTTTCCGGCGTATAAGACGACTGGGCGTATAAGACGACCCCCAACTTTTCCAGTTAAAATATAGAGTTTGGGATATACTCGCCGTATAAGACTACCCCTCTTCCAACGCACACCAAAAAAAAA